CCACCCCCCCAAAAAAACAAAAACAAACTCGAACTCGATTCGCCTCTAACCGTTTTAGTGCCCTGGGCCAGTCACACACACACACCCACGATAATAAGAACAGCCTACAACAAACCAGACAAAGGTAACAACAGTACGTGTAATTCAAATAATAAGCATAATTACATTTCTGTTTTGGTTTTGTGGATTTGTTTTCTTTTCTGGAATGTCGTACTCCTTTCAAGATAATAAATTATAAAAGCTGTCAGGTTTAAACAAGCAAATAAAAAAGTAAACATTGAAATATAATTAAATTTAATAAAACGTGTCAGTGAAGGGATTCACTCAAAGTCAAGTTGTAGAAAATACTTTCCCTTTTTTTACCTTGTCAAGGAAAGAAAATGGAGCCAGCAAATTATTATACTGTTATGTATCTATTGTTTTGTTGGTGTAGTCAATTTACACTGAACAACTAGGTAATCTGTTTGGTATGTGGGAGTAAACCCGCAGCAAGAACATGAGAACTCTACACAATGGAATGTGTAGACTGAATTTCATTTTGCTTTAAGAACACTAAACCTCCATGGCCCGAAAAAGAGTTTCAATTTACAACGTCGATTTGGATAAAAACGTCTTGTGTGTCTTTCTGAACTATTGAAAAATATTCTAAAACTGGATCTTGATATTAAGAAACATGTTGATCTCTTTTTATGTCTCTATAAATAGATATTATTATTGTTATTATTGTTTACATTAAGGTTTTTTTATCCCTAATATTTTAAAGATTTGTAAATTATGTTTCACCATCGAACGTGAAATGACGTTGGCTTCTTTAATAAAGGTGATAATTTTGAAAATCCTGTGTTAAAGTTACTACAGAAAAAAAATGAAAAAACTGGGGAATAATAATAATAATAAAAAAATAAACTCAAAAGTTACATTCTCTTCATGCAATGTTCACCGATGGCCTGCGGGTGGCACTAATGCTGTAAGTCCAGTGGTGACACTACTGCGGAGAAGAAGCCATGTTTTCATTCATCTCTGTATGAGCTATTAACGCTGGCCGTACTTTTTTACTTTTATTCATTTTAAAAATACAATTACATGAGTATTCATAGTCTAACATTAGCGGGCATTTATGTTGCTGACAGACGCCAAGCACCAACGCCCATTTATCCACGACATACACCGTGACGTTTAAACATTTGCAGCTAAGTGGCTAGGCTAACCCCGAGTGCCTGCTGCTCCGGTGAGGCCTGCTGTATCCCCGGTGTTTCTTATAGAGTGTCTGCCCATCAGGACAAACTACAGCCGCTGTTCTCAAGTGTGTGAGGTAATGGGAAAAAAAAGAAACTTTAAAACTTACTAACTTTGAATGTCTTACTAAACACGGCAAACGGATTGTATTCTGCCATAATTAAGACCACGAATTAACACACTTAAAAGAGGAATTAAATAAATTTAAATGTATTAATGACTATTAAACAACGATAAAGCACTAGTTACGGTGATTTACAGATCAACGGTAATCCCCGAAAAGAGATAAACACACGCACAGGTACACAGGAACGGAATAATAATAAACAAATAACACCACTACAATATTATTATTATTATTATTTGGTGATTCATTTAACCATAATATCGCTAACGACCACAGAAAGACTAGAATATTGGTGGATAGAACCCATGAGAAGGAAAATGATTTTTCTTTTCTTTTTTTAATTAGTTTCATGGGCACGAGAGAGCTTCTTAAACTGTAGTTGTATCCAGAGGGGGCGCTGTTACTCCACCTTGAAGTTAGTTAATAAAAAATAGAGTATTATTGTTTATTATGGGATTTGTTTTCCACTTCAGAATTTTGTACTTAAACAACTGCAGCATTAAAATAACGTTTTTATGTTTCAGATCTGAAAGTGCCGGAGAAAAGATGGAGGCTCCTCCTGTCGCTGTGATGCCAGTCACTGGTGGAACGATCAATATGATGGAGTACCTGCTGCAAGGTAACATAAGTCACTCAGCAGATAGAATCTAAGCATTTAAACGTGAATATTCATCTCAGCCTTAGAGACAAATTATTTGTGGAAAACTTAGAAATATTTTTTATTCACTGTTGTGCAACTGACATAAACAAACTGTGGCCCACGGGCCAGGTATGATCCACTGGGCTTTTTTGGCCCATCAAACAATGGTGTAAAATTGTCTCGTGAAGAACACTAGTATAAACTGTTCATTCTCCCTGCATCCTCTGTTACTCACTAGATGGCGCACTCCAAACATAGTTTACTGCATGCTCCATATAACAGTGACCAAGTGGAAACAAGAACTCAAAAGTCACAGACTCTCAGGGAGGTAGACAGGATTAAATATTAATGATTGAAACAAACATCTATTGTTTCTGAAAAAACTGAGTTCCTAATGAGTGACACTTGAGCAAAGACAATCTAAGAAACACTTTTACAGGTTTAAACTCATTCTGTGTTTCCGTCACATTTGTGGTGTTCAGGGAACGAGTCCCCTCATTTTTATCAAACACATGCTGATGAACTGTAGACTTTTGTCTGCAGGTTTAATATAATATTAATAATAATTACACAGTCGTAATCTAAATATGTCACAGATATCAGGAAAAAGTTTGGAAACTTTCTGAGGTACCATTGACGTTGTCAACAAAGTGACTGTAACTGTCACAGTCTCATCCCTGTGGTTTTCTTCTGGTGTTGACTGGACCCACTCTCAGAAATGTTTACAACTGTTTCTTTCTTCTTCACACATTTTAGGCAGTGTGTTAGATCAGGCCTTAGAAAGTCTTCTCCACCGTCTCCGAGGTCTGTGTGATAACATGGAACCTGAGACCTTTACAGATCACGAACTGGTTTACCTTCTCAAAGGCCAACAAGGCAACCCTTTCATACTGCGCGCTCGCCGCTCGCTCTCCCACCCCACGTCACCATGGCACCTGCGCTACCTGGGTCAACCAGAAGTGGGAGACAAGAGCCGCCACGCCCTGGTACGGAACTGTGTGGACGTGGCTGCGTCCCACAGCCTCCCAGAGTTCCTCAACGAAATGGGCTTCCGCATGGACCATGAGTTTGTGGCCAACGGACACATATTCCGAAAAGGTGCGATGAAAGTTGTGGTCAGCAAGCTTTCACGCATCCTTGTACCGGGGAACACTGAGAACACGGAGCGTCTGTCCCTGTCCTGTTTGGTGGAGCTGAGCTTGTTGGCGCCGGCCGGTCAGGACACGGCGTCGGAGGAGATGCGCAGCTTTGCTGAACAGCTGAAGCCTCTCGTTCACCTGGAAAAAATCGACCCCAGCAAACAGAGGCACTGAAGAGCGGACTGTGCCTTTAACTGGGACCACTTCTTTGTTTTGCATTTTCTTTAGTGTTTTATTAACGTGACGAAATAAAAAATACCTCTGCTCCTCAGATAAACTGGAAAAACTTCTTCTGATTCATGACGTGGACAAAGATGCAGCCAGAAGTAGACTTGAAGTACTTTGCTAGTTTTCTACTTGGATGGGGGGTTTACAGAAATATGGTGTGAATATGAGTGTGAATGGTTGTTTTTTTTCAGCAGTCGTTGTTTGGAGACTCCTGGAATTGGCTCCAGGACTACCTTGTCCTGGAAAAAATTTGAATGAATGGATGGATGAGTTAATGAGTCGATGGATCGATGGATTAATAAATTGATTGATGGATCTCCTACCTGGACATTAAAAGTTGGTAAGAATAGTGCATTAGTTCTTGCCACGTGTCATCCATCTACAAACACCTCATTATCTTTGTTTCCAATTATAATGAGTTCCAGACAAGGCTTCAAGTAAAAAAAAAAACAACCTAAGATTCTTTAGTCACATCCTGCCTTATCTTCTGGATCAAATCTTTATTTCCCTCTTTTTCTGACCTAGTCTTTAGAAATGAATGAACTGTTACAATTCATGACTATTTAAAATTATGGAGAAGAAAACGAAATCAGCAAACAATTCTAATTCCCTCTGTGGAGTTCCAGCGTTTTTCGCCCACTAGGGGTCTCTGTTGCTCTTTTTGTCAGCCTGGACCTGAGGCCGTTGGAAAGCCACTTCAGACCATTTGGAGTAGCATTGGTTGCCATGGAAATAATTAGTCGTGAGATCTGGCCCCACCCCACCCCCTCACTAATTAGCTTTCTCAATTGCTTAATGATACATAGACCTGTGAAAGCTTCACAACCGACCACCCCCACGTCCCCTCACCCCCTCCCACTTTAACAAAGGCATTGATTTTCATTCCCATCCCCTCTCATTTCTATTGTTAACCCATTAGAGCTTCTTTCCTGGGAACATGAGCTGGGACTCGAGTGTGTGTGTGTGTGTGTGTGTGAAGGGACTACAACGGCCCCAGGTTATATGGATGTATACTGGCGTGACGACATCGTGGTCAGTACGCTGACCAAACTGAAGTCACTAATACACATCCTGTCAGTTATGGTAGTAACGAGGACGATCTGACATGAGCGATGCTAATAATAGTCTCACAGGAAGACGCATTTAGAGGCGCTGTGTGATGTAGAGTGACTGCACGCGTGTATAAAGGAAGGGCTGGGGGCAGACGGCTGTCTCCCCACATTGACCTACCTGCACATCAAGGCTGTAATCAAGCTCACCCAGGTGGAAAGGTGAGATGACATCAGTGGTGGTGTCGAGTCCCTGCTGTTCCGAGTCCAAGTCATTAAGTCTGGATCTTAGGCTCCAGAGATTCACATCTGAAGGACAATTTGTAAAATCTTTGACAAAATATCGAGAGGCAACGTTTTACCCCCAGAAAGATTAAGGTATGGAGCGGGGACCTCTGTTATGTACAACGGTCCTCGTCCAAAATACCTGTGATTTTGAACTCAGTATTAGGCTATTCTAATGGTAAAGACAAATAAAAACAAATACACATAAAAAATGGTCTCCGCTGCTAATCATTAAAATCCCGCGACCCTTCTGTTGTACCTTCTGGATCTAGTTAAGAGACACGGGACCCATGTTGAGGATAGAAAGCTACAGTCATCTGAAGTTCAACTTCTGCCTCCTACACCTGCCTGAAACTTTAGCACAACTATGTACATTTAAAGTAATACTACTAACCACTACACATAGCTACGTCTGACCCCTGAAGAGGTCAACAGTGAGTCGGTGGTATGATGTCACTGAAGTGTTCGTCTGGTCTTCACTGACGGATGTGATTGACTCTCGGTCGTACTCTTGTACAACTTTGACTGTTGTTTTTCCTTCATTCTCATCTGACCTTTGACCTCCCCCATCATTTACCTATGGAACGGCTCCTCACTTCACACAAGTTTTTTTTCTCATGCTCTAATTTTCCAAGACACTGTCGCCAATTTTTTTTTGCATCAATTTTCTATCTAATTTACTATGACTATTGAGGGCAACATTAAGAATAAAAAATAAATAATATTCTAAGATTATTATACATACATATATACACAACAACAACTTTATTCACATATTTTATTACTTTATTCACGTAAGATGATTTATTCTGGTAATATTATTACTTTATTCTCATTATAATATAACTGAATTCTTGTTAACCTGCTCTCCAAATATTAGAGCTAACTTTGTTCTTATCATTTCTAAAACTACCTGGTTCTTTGCCGAGCCAAACGTCGTATAATGATTTTTAAAAAAGTGTCAGTAGTGATGTAATGGGATGCGACGTCTCACATTTGTAACAATAATATCAGGAAGAAATTATGTTATTTGCCTTAATCAAATGAACAACGTAAAATAATTGTATAAATTAGTTACTATTATTACATGTATATTTTAAAATATATTTTCTCATTCCTGTTTAATAAAATGAAACAATACCAAAATAATATAGGAGTTCAACTTATTTTTTAAGTGGTAAAAGCCTATAACCCACAAACATAATTCACCTACTAATTATATCCAAACAAAGCCGTGAGACAGGAAAACAATGGCTGCCATAACTCTTCAAAATTACACCACTCTGTGTCCCATAAGCCATAACTTTTAAGGACCTTTCTCAAGGAAGGAAGGAATTCTGCTCTTCCTCCAAAAACATTATAAAATTAGGACATGATCAGTTTATTCCTGATTTTTTTTTTCCATTGCGTCTGGTCTTATTCTCAGGGCCTTGAACTGAAGTGGATTTTCTGCAGGAAGGACTGTATGTCAGACATGATAATTAAACTTTTTACAAAGTAATAATAATTAAGTAATAATTGAACTTTTTTTAGTAACTGAAAGAAACATCCTTGTCTTTAAGATGTTTTTTATGACTCATTGAAGTTGATGCTGTCGATGGTTAGCACCGTTGTCTCACAGTAAAAAGGTCACGGCTGGTGTTGGCAGTTAGCCCTTGTTGATGACTGGTGGGTTAGTGGTTCCTGCTCCTCTGAACCCTGAGAAGGTTTAAGAGTTTGAAGATGAAAGATTACATGAATAATTTTTAGTTAAATGTGAATTTAATATTCAATATAAATGCTAACGTTGAGGTTAAACGTCTAGATCTGGATGTTAACGTCATGCGCCCTAAAGTTCTTTGGTGAGTATTTTATTTTCAGCACCACTTCCAGTGAGTATTTGCTGGCATTAGATGCCAAAAATAAGGGTCTGGACACTCAGTGTGACCTCATGTGTAAAGCCCTCACTGTAAAGTCCTGTAAAGGAACTCTTTAAACGGAGACCACTAGTTTGGACGACACTCAGTGTGACCTCATGTGTAAAGGCCTCACTGTAAAGTCCTGTAAAGGAGACCACTAGTTTGGATGGTCAGGTTCCCTAACAAGAGTTCAGAAGTGGAAACAAGTTCAGGAAACTGCCTCCGGTTCTGGTGGGGGTCGGCCGGGTCATTTCACCAGCTTGGAACGATCCCTGAGAAGATCCTGGATTGTCTTGTGTGAGGTGTAACAAGTTGGATTGTCTTGTGTGAGGTGTAACAAGTTGGACCTGAACTCATCTCTCTGCTGCCCAGCTTTTCCCACATCCTCAAACGGGTTAAGAGCTAAAGACAAGAACGAGTGAATAAGTACGTTCTTCAAATGAGTCTTCACAGAGTCTTGAAGGAACTTGAATCCCAGTCCTGGATTGTGGCACTCTTTGACTTGACCTTACTTCCACACGCATTCACTGCACTTGGAACTTCACTGCGCTCTGTGATTGGCCGACCGCTCCATACATGTTGTTGTCGAAGAATTGGATTTGGAAGAAGTGGCTTGTCAATGAGAGCCGATTATCTGATGGAGACAGTTTAATGTTCCGACAAGCAGCAGCAGCAGCAGCAGCAGCAGCAGCAGCAGACTACTGGCCCTCAGGACCGAAGCATGATGTTTCAGCTCTGAGTGAATTATGTATTAAAGAGACAGATGCCTCCTCGCCCAAGGCTTTATATGTCCAGCATGGATACACTCCAGTCTGCTGGCTTTCTTCCACTTACACATGTGTTTAGCACATCGCTCTTCAGTGCCGAGCCGGACTCCCTCAGCACCTCCACTCTTCAGTGCCTGGAGAACACAGGCATCGCTAGGCTAATCAGAGCCTTGGCATCAGGCCTGTTCAGCTATTGTGGATGTAGCCAAGCACCGACGTGCACAAGTGATGGAGTTGGCGTGTTGCCATAGGTGGAGTGATGAGTCGCACGGTTTATTTGATGGCGTGAAGACCAGATTGGCGCCCTCTGCCCGCATGTGTGCGCAGACACTCCGATCAGTCTACGAAGAACGTCTCGGAGAAGTTCAGAAAGCAGAGCGGTCATCAAACCTGATAAATTTCCCGTCTGATGTTTTTATTGGGTGTTATGAAATTTTTATATTGGGGTTTGGGTTTGGTACATCTGCAGCAAACAACTTAATTATGAATCAATCCACTTTTTATACCTCATATTCACTTATTGATGGTGCAGTCTATAAAATGGCTGATAAAATTGAAAAATGTCTGTTGTAACCTCCTTGTGCTAAAGATAAAATCACTGATAAGCGGTCCTTAAAGGGACAGCGCGGGGCCTTTGGTACTTTATCAACACCGACCTACTCACCGCCATTTTTCTGGAGCCGTCTGGAAGCTGACCTGTCGCTCTCACTAATAACGTTGCTGTTGGCAGAGACGGAAAGAACGACAACAAAGTTCCAGTGGCTCAATTAAAAAAAGAAGAACTGTCTGCAGTCGTAAACCTGAGAATACGATCAGAAACGGTTCTTGGTTTCACTCTCGGAACAGAACCTGAACTCTGTCAGTCACTCATGTCATTGGTCAAAACTGTTCCAAATCTGTAGGATTGTTAATCTTAATCTTGAGATTAAGATTACACCTGGAATCACTGTTTTTTCCAAACCTTGGTGCGTCACCTCTGACCTTCACCAAAACTGTTTTTCAGCAGCTTAAGAAGACGCAGTAGGCTGATTTTTCTTACTCTGAACCATTGTGGGTTCTGGTTCTGGTTCTGGTTCTGGTTCCTTAACTGTTAAATGTAATGAATTGATCCCAGCAGTCCGTGGAACTTCATCTTATTTTGTCAGACCTCCGAAACAAAGGCAGAAATCATTACATTCTCACGCCTTTATTTTTACGCTCAGCAACTGAGTCTTACTTAAACCTCTTGGCATCAGTGTCTCTTCCACTCCAGAACATTATGTTCACGGTTGGCAGCGTAGATGTTGAGATGCCACCAAAATGTGGCTCAGGAAGTCTTAAAGTTAGCCTGCTTTGGCCACACGCCACAGAGGGTAAAATCCGGCTTTGCCTACACGGAAACGTTCCCAGTGCTTCGCCCTGTTTTCCCGTGTCACTGGGAGCCCATATGTGTGCTACAGCGTGTGGGTTGTTTGCCTTGAGGGGTGGAGAAAACAGGGGAGGTGTTTTCCCAGACAGACATAGATCTCCCGAGGGGGTTCTTGTGGCTTCTTCAGCATCCTTTTTTTCCCCCTAATCCCACAGGGTGGGATGGGGGTGCAGGGATAAATCACCGGAGGTTGAGAGGAAGGTTTTGGAGATGCAGCGCCAAGGAAGTTAAGACCGAGCCTGGCAGCAGAAATTTGTACCTTATGTGAATGAAATTCCTCCGGATGGTTTTTTGGGTGCAAATTGACCAGCACAAAGCTCTGCCTTGTTGATGTGGTGCTCCTTCCAGCTTGTGGCTCTTTAAAATGATTACAGTTGCGCATAATATTCTGTTCCCAGATCAGCCTGTGCCTAAAGCCAGCCGCGCTGCCTCTGGAATGTCTGGTATGTGAACAGTGTAGCAGTTAGCCTTGAAGGGGCCGTGCACACATGTAGTTTTTGAACTTCTTCTGCCCGATTCCACCGTTTCTGCCTCCCGACGTTTTCCTCATTTTCCTATAGGCTGCGCTGTCAGTCACACCAACGTGGTCCAATCCTGATTAGTGTCCGATCGAGTCAGGATCATTTTTGATCATTTCAATACATGACATTGACTCTGCTGATGTTTCTGTGTTCGCAGCCCGTCCTCTGCTCTCCTCCATGACTTCACCGAGCTGCTCGGCTGCTGCAGGTTAGTGATAACAGTCTTCAGGACGTGCACGGAAATCCAGGTGAACTTTGATGGGACTCTTTCACAGTAAGTCTTATGAGGAGTGTACAGTACACAGTATATCAGACTGGACTGACTGGAGACACCATCTGAGATACTGTTCTGCTCCTGGTCGTTCTGTGGGGAGTTCTGTCCTGTTCTCCCAGTGTGTGGGGGTGTTCTCCAGGTTCTCCAGTTTCCTTCCACACATTTAGGATTAGATTAATCACTCTATACTGATCATAGATGTCAATTTCAGAAAGGAAGTTCCATCTATCTATCTATCCATCCATCCATCCATCCATCCATCCATCCACCCATCTGTCCAGTTTGTAACCCCGCCCTTACTTGAGGTGAATGCTGACATCGCATCTGTCCAGTTTGTAACCCCGCCCTTGAGTGAATGTTGACATCAACACTGAAATAGACCAAGCTGTAGAACAATGATTATCAACTAGTGGCCCGTGGACCAAATCCCAGCCCATTCCGGCCCATAGTTGTCCAACCCCTAAGGTGTTGGTTCAGAAATATTCTGTGCCTGTCAGTGATTTCAACCTGGGGTTTGAGAGAAGGTTGCTCAGGATCAGAGGTTTCAGATGTACGAACATATAGCCATCTTTGTTTCCTTCAGACCGAGGTCCGCTGTGAGCCTGGGGAGCAGGTCATTCAACCTCTTGATGTTCACAGCGACTTATCTTTGACTACGTGTGTAATCAAGACACATTATGTAATCTCAAGTGTCACAGAAATTACAGCTCTCGGGAGTTTTATTTGTGAAAAAGCGTCGCAACGAGAACCTCGTGTTAGGGAGCCGAGCATTTGAAAGGCTGATGTGTCTCCAGCACTCGTCTGATTGTTAGTCTCGCCACATAATTTGGTAATACAGTAATTACCCTTTACTCAAATTTGTAGGTGCAATAGGGTTTGTAGCCTGTTTGCATATGCAAACTATTAGCAACATGGCATTTTAACCACGAGCACTGATGCTCGGCATTAAGTCACCGCATGACACACCATGACACATCCTCTCACATTTAAAAGTGTGCTATTTTTGACACAAATTTCACAACATCAGTCATGTCTGAGTGCGCAGGGTGGCCGTGTTGTGCAACTTTTAAGTACAGCTTCAGTCCACGCACACTCTGCATGCAAAGGGTGGAGTTCCAGCTAACATCACAGAGCCAAAGGAAACCATGGCTACGACATGGTTGAAGATACATGTCTGAGTGAGACAAATTTCCCATAATGCTTTAGTGTTGTTGAACGATGAGTGAGGAAGTAGATCTGTTCATTTTGTTTTCTGAAGGTTGGAGTTTGTGGATGGAGTTTCGCATCTTGTCCCGTGGTTGTACTGCGTGCACGGAGTTTGTGGATGGAGTTTCGCATCTTTCGCATCTTGTTGTCAGTAAATATCAAATATTGAAATATTGAAGATACATTTCCCATTTAAAGGACTATTGTCCTCATCGGCGTCTGTCTTTGTCACCCACATGTCACTGATGATGATCAGTCTCTTGATCACTTCCTTAGTGGCATACTGGCGTTCAGGGTACTGCAGCTGTAGTACCATACAGTATTCTCACCGAAATATTTTCAGGACAAAAGAGAAAAGGCGGACTGTACTTCAAAGAACTTGACGGGCCTGTGAAGTGTACGTGTAAGAGGTACTTACCCATAGTGCATCGCTGAAGACCTACTGTATTTACTAAGAACCACCTTGAGACACGGAGACTGGATCCTGCTGA